CCCAGGAACCACATGAGGGGGAGTTGGGATCTGCTGCCGGAAGGGCGAATCAGTGAAAATCTTTCCCCTCGAGAGCGTGTTGAAATCCTCTGGTGGATTCTGAAAAGTACTGTGGCCAGAGACGCAGCATAGTGAATCAGCTCTTGTTTATTGGATTACATCAAGAACGAAGGATACCTTGGCCGGGCAGTGCCCAGCTTATATGCGTGCCCCACACCACACACCCATCACCCGTGATTGGCTCTATTTACAAGTCATCATCAGCTACCTTTATTGGCATCACAGCAAAACATAGACCATGTATTTACAAGTCTACATCTTAATAGGTCTACTTTCGGATTCCGGCAAACCCATTGGTGTGCGGGATCGAAGGTCTGAAGGTTTGTCAGACCACATGGCCAGACTACCGCCGTGGCGACCATCTTATTGCAGCTAATACACATTATTTGTCTCCAGTGTTATTCTCCCTTTCCTGATTTAACTGTCTTTGATAATGGATACGGGTGTTGCTGTTCATTCTGAGCCCGCCAATGTAGTAAAAGAAAAGAGCTGTAGGTATCGGCATCAAAAAGCCAAATCTTCTTTTGCTTATTTTAATAAAACATCCCCATATACTTGAGTGCTCTTTTATTTTCAGTTATTAGTCTGTGTTGGCCTTAAATATGTATTCCCATAATAACACTAAGTACAGCAAGCTCCTTTCAGATCTCTGGGACTTGCATTTGAAAAGTTAAATGGGATTTTTGAAATGGCCTCACTATGAGACTTGTATTTGGACATGGTGTAATGATTCCTTAAACTTCTAAAAGCCTCAGCAAACTCTAGCCTTTGTTATAGTGGAAGAATTTGACCCAATGTCATCCTTAGGCTTAAAAGTATAGTTTTAATTTGAGTTGTTTATAGTGTCATTGTCTACTGTGTGGTTTCTTTTTTCTGTATCTGTTTTTACAGGATTGTCAAATGGGAACTGATCATGCATAGAAAACATCTATGCAGATTTTGCATTTATTTCAAGTACTCTATATATAGAGGCACAATAGACAGGCAAGACAGATGGACAGACCTCCCATTGATTCAAAGGCTACTTTAAGGAAAGATGCTTGAATTAGTTTGCATTTCCCATGTTTAAAATTCAGATGACACCTATAGTCACTGGAATGTACATTCCATTTTCATTTTCTTCTTTTTCTATTTTCTATTCTTCATTAACCATTTCCCCAATTTATGAATTCTAGACTCAAGGGCATTCTATGGCATAATGAAAACACTCTTACTTCCAAGTAAGTTTGCTTGGGGTCACAGCCTTAAATGTGATTCCGATTTGTTACCTGTCAGTATGACTGGTTTTTAATATGCAAACTGCTCCAAGCACTGAGGCAGGCAATGCTAAAAATCCAGATAATAGACAAATTTCTATGCCTCATTGTACAATTCTTCCTGTCAAATATTTTTAGTACTGAATCATAAAGTATTTACTCAGACAATCCCCTTGATTTCAATCGAAATCTTCCAAATATGTATCTAAGATTGCAGGTTTTACACCCTAGAAATCGTGCCAATGCAGAAAGTTTTGTTATTTCCATAGTTGCTTCAAAGCATTTTTAAGGAACAGGAGAAAGGCTTGTTACAGAACTTCTGCTGTTTGGGAGAACAAAACTGGCATGGCAAAAAAACCAACCCTTTCTTAGCCTGTTATTTTCAGACACCATTGTGATTTTATGTATTTATCTAGTTTTCTTTAAAAGATATGGATCTTCTACCTTATGATTAACCCATACAACACTGCTACAATGCAGCTACAGTTGATCTAGCATTTAGTTTTCTTTAAAAGATGTGGATCTTCTACCTTATGATTAACCCATACAACACTGCTACAATGCAGCTACAGTTGATCTAGCATTTAATTGTGGATCTCTTATTGGTTTTATTTATTACTGTATGAGAACATAATCTTGTAGTTACCATTACACCCTGGAGATGCTCAGAGAAGTTATGGAGGAAAATTCCACGGTCTTATTTTTAACAGGATTTTCACAAAATGGGAACACAAAAACCTCAGTCTTCTTGAACTACTGCAAGAGCTATATTTTATATGTTTGTTATAATTAGCACTGCTATCCCTATTACCCAGAGTCTATCTGCAAGACATTTATCGCTTATATCAGCATCAGCACATCGTTTTACCAAAGTTGAGGTTCTCTCCTTTAGAACTTTCAAATTGTTTTGTGAAATAAACAAAGGCTGTACTTATTTACCTTTAGTTTGACTTGGCAATGCTGCGGGGTCCAGTTTACTCTGTAGCACTCTGTGCTGGAAGAAATGCTGGACTCCAAGGAAATCTTCAGGCTTGCCGTAGCATCCCAGGTGTAGCAGAATTCTGTTCTGTTCAGCCCACACATATTCGTCACGAAAGGTGCCTCTACATCCTGGAAGCTGCACACATTAATCTCCAACCATTTTTCCTCACCTTTCAGAGCCTGCAAGATGAGGGCGTGTGCTTTTCGCTCCCATATGAGACCACTGGCGCTTCCTCTCAGGATCCAGTTCTTCTTTGGCTGATCCACCACTTGCCAGTATATAGTCCCAATGGTCATCATAAAGAACACAGCCACCCCAAGGCAGGCAAATCCTCCTTTCCAGGTCTCATTCATTTCTTTCAGCCGGGTGTCCCAAGCCACCTCTGGGATGCGGCCTGGGTGCCTCTGACGACTGTGAGGCATTTCACTGTGTGCGGTGCTAAAGAGGATCTAGCAAAGAATGTTAGGGCACAGAGCCCTCCCTTTGTGAGCCCTGCAGGAAGTTCTGCTCAAAATTTATTCTTTTTCCATGCTGTCCACGGAGCACTCCATACTGTCCCACCCATGGGGGAAAAGAAAAAGAGGGAGGAGAAGAAAGGTAAAAACATTCAACGTTTCCACACACACCCCAGCACTTCTCACTGTATTATTTCAAAAGAAACTCGGGTCTGGGAAGGCTGTTCCAGCCTGCTCTGTGCTCGCAGCGTAAAGGAGGGAGAGTGCCCGCAAAATCTGGCTGCAGCGATGTGGTGTCAGATGCATTTCTCCCGGCCCGATCTCTCTCAGGTGCTTGAGCTGTGACATTCCTCTGGCATAGCAGACTGTGCCTAATCAGGAACGCTGTCAGTTGCACGGCATTTGCTAGGGGTGCCACCCTCCAGGTGGGACCTTGTGCACCCCCCCCCCCCAGAATTACAGTGCATCTCCAGACTACAGAGATCAGTTCCCCTGGAGAAAATGGATGCTTTGGAGGATGGAGTCTATGGCCTTGTACCTCACAGAGGTCCCCGTCCTCCCCAGGCTCCACCCCCAAATCTCCAGGAGTTTCCCAGCCTGGATCCGGCAACCCTACCCACCCATCCCCCACCAGTGGCCAGGAGGGACCTGGCAACCCAACTAGGGACAGCCTGGAAACAGAAAAGTAAAGGTAAAGGTCGAAAGCCAGTCGAGTCCGACTCTAGGGTTGCAGTGCTCATCTCCGTTTCAAAGCCGAAGAGCCAGCGCTGTCCGGAGACGTTTCCGTGGTCATGTGGCCAGCATGACTAAACACCAAGGCGCACGGAACGCTGTTCCCTTCCCACCGAAGTGGTACCTATTTATCTACTTGCAATGTCTTGCTTTCGAACTGCTAAGTTGGCAGGAGCTGGAACTAGAGATGGGGGCTCACTCCATCATGCGGCAACCCGGGTCTCAAACTGCTGAACTACTGACCTTCCACAGCCTGCAGTTCAGCGTCTTAACCACTTGAGCCACCGCAGCTCATAAAACATAAAAGGCCACTCATAAAACAGGTAAGTGGTGGCAGTTGGGTTAAAAACCTACAAACTCTGCACAAGGCTTCAATTTAACCCTTAGAAGCACAAAAGGAGCCCAGAGAGGTCCCCTTTCACTTAGAAAGAAGGGTCATTTGTTGACTAAGCAGGTTTGTCAAATCAAGATTTTAAAAAACCCCAACAACACAGTTCTAAACAGAGTTACACCCTTCTATCCCCATTGACCCCCTCATGGATCACTGTCTTGTCGTGGCGAGGGGGCTTGCGTGGTTCGATGAGGCTGTGGGCTATGCCGTGGAGAGCCACCCAGGACGGACAGGCCACAGCAGAGAACTCAGACCAAGTGTGATCCACTGGAGAAGGAAATGGCAACCCACTCCAGTATATTTGCCAAGAAAACCCCATGGATGTGTGGAAATCCCCATTGAAATCAATAGGCTTAGAATGGTGTGATTCTGTTTAGGACTGCACTGTAGTAGAACCCAGACTGTGGCCAGCTGTGCTGGTGGTCTCTGACCCAACTCGCTTTTTGCTGCAATCGCACAGCTGCTGCAGCCGGGGAAAGTATTTTTAAAGTCCCCAGGAGTGCAGTTCAGCTTGGAACTGTGGTACAAGGGGAGGAAAGACTCCTGCCTTCTCCTCCATGGTCTTTTCCCAAACTGAAACGGCCCCAGCAGGAAGTCAGCTGCATTATACAAAGAATAAAGAATAAAAGGTCTTTGATCACTGGCAGATAAATGGATAATTTAGCTGTATGCTAATTTTCACATGATGCTTTTGGTTTGCTCTTAAGTTAAGAAAATCAGCCTGATGGGGGGGGAGGGAAAGCTTCAAAGCAATTTAAGATTAACAAAATAGCAAGCATGACTATGGATCAGCAATGATGCACTAGAAAGCGGAGGGGCGGGACACAAACATTCCCAAGGCAAGACTTTGGCATCATTCCCAAGGCAAGACTTTGGCATCAATGGGGTCTTAGTATCACTCAGGGGTCGTTTCGTAGAAAAAGAGCTAGGGGAACTCATTAGCATAACTCATTAGCATATGCCACACCCCCTGACATCACCGGAAGTGTGTCATAAGGCCACACCCCCTGACATCACTGGAAGTGTGTCATAAGGCCAC